TCGACCGGGAACGGATTTAATGGAAAAAAGGCAAGTAAAGAGGAGTCATTGCCAAGATCCAAAAATAGATGGAATGAGTTGTGTTACTATTATTAYTCTTCCCCGTCAGGAACACGGAGGTTATTGTTGAGATCCATTGTTGTTTGTAGTCAACGAAAGTCATTTTAAAAATAGCCTCAACTATTCGTGTGAGTCGATATGCCCAAAATTTATTTCGGCGTCTTGGAATGACATTTCAGTGTCGCTTATCGCCAATCTCTTTTGGCTCCGCCAATCTCTATTGGAACAGATATATATTAGTCTGCGACCAAAATTAAAATTGAGCTCTTCTGAGAAAAGTGAAGTGAAATGGGGTTCGGAAAAAAATAGTGAATAGCGACATCGACAGGTGTCTCGTCTGTCATTGCTCAGCCACGTTCACGTTCTCTGTTCTGTCTTACTTGGATTATATCGAATCTCAAAGCTGTCTTATAATATTATCAGAACAATGTCTTTATTTTTATTTAAAAGGATTATTTTGCTGTATTTCTTGAAGTTTTAGTCTAATAATACGAACTGTTTGATTATTACGAAAGCAGCACTCATTTCCGAGACGAGGTAGCCTGATGACGAGTCAAGTTGCTTAGCAACGCCTGCTCTAGCCCTTGGGACAATTAGCTACCAAATAAAATACAAGCAAGTTCAAGTTTTGTTTATTCATTGGATGTCTTACATGTGACAACAGGATCAAAAGCTCAATACTAGTGGGACTCGCGAAAACATCAGCTTTTTGCCAGTCTTAACTGAATATATAGTGCATTCGCAGGCCTAACTCACCTTCGTAGACAAGACCAGCTTTTGTATGTATTTGTAAACCGCTTGTCGGCAAGCAAATTTAAGCAAGTTAAATTCCACTTTACTTTGCCAAAGGAATAGCGAGTGCTTTGACAATTTCCAGCGGATTTTATGGAAATTCAAAATCAGAGATCTTGCACCGACGTAACGAGATATTCAAATTATTCTTTCAAACTTCCCTACACGTGTTAACAAAATCTGTTTAACCCAAGAATCAGTGATTGACGCTTACCTTTTTCTCTATTGGTTATTTTTCAAAGGTAGATTGACTACAAAAGAATGAACATGAAAAAAGATTTAGAAAGGTGAACGGAAGACAAGGGTGCATTACTCTCTTGGCAATGTGGTGAGAAACACGAGCGCAAATGAACACCTGTAAGGATTGATCAGGGAAATTCAACCTCTGTGAAATTTTACTGAAAAAAATGGGTTGCAGTCCATCACACGCTCTGATCATCAACTCATCCCGAACACACCACGAACCAGTCTGCCCGCTACAGCCTCGAATTTACATGGTTTCCGAGTCTACCTTGAGAATACTTCAAGACGTTGGGGAGCTACGACTTTATCAACAAGAGGACAAAGACCCTGGAGTCGCTAGAGTTCGTTTCGGTACAACTACTCTGGACCAACTTGAGAATCCTGTCGGATACCAGTCAAAAATTCGTAAGCAGGTTTCTGTTGACTCTGAACAAGAGGTTAAAGTCTTGCAGAATGACAGCGAAATAGCGCCAGTTAATCTAGAAACGGTGCAAGGAAATAATCAGGGCGCTATGGAAGAAGACAGCGTAGATTTTAACGAACAAGACGTGAATGAAACTACTGGTTTACTAACAGGAGATGACACGAGTCAATGTTCGATTTCATCATCATCTACCCTAATAGCCGCGCAAATCCATAATCCATTATYGCTAAAAAGCATAGCTAAAGTGTCAGTTCCTAGCGATGAGAAATCTCGAACTGAAACCCCTGATTCGGGAAAAAATTAATCAACGAATAACGCAGTCGTCCTTCGTACTTTATTCCGCTACAGTAGAACTACGAGGACTCAGCGGAGCAGCTAGAACGATTTCCTGTGAAACGAAATTTTGTGAATCCAAATATTGCATATCTCAATATGAAGAAACTAACGTCCATGAACAATTATCCTAAATCAGTAAAACATACGTTATATTTATAAAACGAACTGATGAAAAACACCATTTTCGATATTCAAGACGGAAAATCTCCTACCAAATGGCCGTGTACCTTCATATATATCAGACAGTTCAATGAACTGAACGTATTTAAACCAAAACAGGATTACGTGGTTAAAAACTAACATCATCAAAATTTATTGCGATGGGATCTCAATTTTAAATACAAATTACAGAGGATGACTTGACATCTGTTTGTGTAAACTAAGACGAAGAATAAGCTAGATTGTAGGCTGGTACAAGCTTGACACATAACGAATGCCGAACAGAATATATATACACAGCTGTAAAACAAGAATCCATCAACTGCGATGGTTAAAGCAGAAAACAATAAGACCCTAGAAAACAGTGGTGAGATTCTGCCGCGATAATCATGTAAATATCTGCTTAAATAACATAATCATTCTCGTTCGTGGACAATGAGTTAGAGTTGAAAGCGGTTATTTTAAGACTTGTGCGCGCAAAACGCACAAATTCCGTATAATTTGGTAAAAAATTACCAAAAAATTGTCCCCTGCGAAACTCATATTCGTTGCATATTTTACTCAGTAGTCAGAAAGAAAATTACTCATTTTGCGCTTTCAAATGTGCAGTATACTGAGTTCAATTTTTTAACAATCATATCAAAGATATATCCCTGATCGTGAATCATGTTTGTGTAAAGGTGTAAATAACGTAACGTTATAATTCTTTCTAGATAAAACGAGAAATGAACCGAAGGATATCTTTTTAAATGCATACGCTGTTTCATTGCCTTGAGTTAAGTCAAATTATTTTTTTTGTAATTTAAAATTATAATTGCTGAAAAAATAAATCCCAAAATAGAAATCTTCTTTTCGTATCTCAGCAGCTTTTGGGCTGGATTACAGTGAATTAAATTCATGGGAAAAAAACATGAAAAAATCCCTTATCGCGCTTAACGAAAGAAAGAAAAAATTGAAGATCAAATATTGGATGGAATATTGGTAATGATCCGACCGAGCTAATGGCTTTTATTGTATTGATGTTGTAAAAAAATTTCCGATTGTCTTTATCTTGTGCTTCAAATGCGCAACGGAACAAATTAAAATTTTGTCGCTCTTCAATTTTGTCATTACAAATGAAATGTATTTTATGAACAAATGTTATAAATAAAGGCTCAGATTAGATGGCCTTTTATTTCTTGTTTTAATAGATTATTGCGTAAAATTTTCTCGCTTCTAAATACAATTCAACCTTTTAATTGAAGCGCTGATGCAATTTCTTCTTATCGCCCAATTTTCGCATGTTTGTTATTGTGAATCGAATTCATACTTTTTTGGTCTGTGTTTGTGCTATCTTGGCTAGTATCATTTTTAAATTGCAATTTGAAGTTCGAAGAAAAATAAGGTTACATTCTTTATTAGTCGTAAACAATCCTATATTTAGCCTATGCGGGGATGAATTCCCCTGGATACCGGGGTATGGTATGTTATTTTAAGATATTCTTGTCTTATATAGGGTCAGGATTTTCGGATCCCCGATCACAAACGAATATGTCCTTTTTATTCAACATGCACTCCTTCAAATTTTGAATTCAAACAATGCCTATATGAAAAATGTCGGGGGGGGGGGGAGGTTGAATGTGTTATTTTATTTATTTTAGTTCACTCGTACAAGAGGATTGTTTCAATGCGTTTCAAACCGACTCTAACTAATTCGCACTGGTTCGAGCTTTGCTCCTGGTACATAAATGAACTGCCAGAGGCGCCTCAACTTTGTTTTCAGTTCGACGCCGTTGTTCTGCGCTATTTTGGTAATTTGCGGTGGTGATAAGCGATGCCGACAAGTTTTTCCTCTCAATTTATTTGACACCCCGACAGGGTTCTCATAATGAATAAAATATAGACACCCAACAAGGGCTTTAAATTTGAAACGATCGCCTGAAAACAAAACATGTTGATAAATTAAACTGTCGTCTGTTCACGTGAAACCTCAACGTTATGCAAACGCCCGACACTCGTTTTACTTCACAGTTTTATTAACATGTTTAGGATAATTTAAATTTTAATGGATTGTTTATATAGCTTTTTAATTTCTTTTAATTTAGCGTTTCAGTCAATCTAATGCTCTTATTAAGAAAGTAATTCTACCCCGTTTACGAAGTCAAAGAAAAAACAGGGAGGGATCCAGGGGGAGGGTTGTGGGGAATTTTCATTTCCATATGAGAATTTCGATTTCTTCTTATACAGAATGTACCGCTCGTTCTTGTTGTTGTTTGTTCGTTGCTGTTGTTTTTGTTTTTTGATCGGGTACCTCGTCTTTTACAGATGGATGCTCTTTAGAAAACTGATCCTGAATCCAACACAATCTAACACGAAATGAAAACCTCACCATTTAGTACTACTTATGATTTGGGAGAATATAGATATGCTGTCAAATCATCCAAAAAAAGAATAGAAAAATTTAATAAAAGCCAAAATTCTGGCTCGGATCCTGGCTCAAATCCTAGCTCGGTTCCTGGTTCGGATCCCAGCTTGATATCCTGGCTCGTATCCTCAGTTGAAAAATAGGGATTCTCCCTGAAGCCGCCCTTGACAATAGTGCGCCCCTCCCGAACACAAGCCATAACTTCAAGGTGTTCAACAAAAGCTCTTAAATGGTTTTTAAAATGTTGCAATGTGATTGGCTAGAGATTACTTTTACTCCTTATGATTGGTCAAGAGTAAAAGCCATTGCAAATACTAACTATCAAGAGTGTTCGAATCGTTTCCAAACAAATGCTCTTTAATGGTTTTCCAAATGATGAACTCTGATTGGCTAGAGTACTTAATATCTCTTTTTCTAGAGTAAAGCCCGTTCATATCAGATACTCAGCACCTTAGGGTCTCCAAATGGTACCAAATGTCATAGTCATTTTCCTACATAAATTTTCTCTATTTCAAAAAAACTCAGGGTACTGACCGACAGGACGTGGTCTATTAACGCAGTAAAATGTATTTATTTATTGTTTATTTATCATTCGATAATTTACATTATCTAATAACAATACAACAATATATATTTAATTAATTATGGCTTATATTTTGTAATAAATCAGATTAAAGAATTTTATTTTTCCACATGCAATTTATGAGTTTCGAGATTGTAATTTTTATTTTAGTATCAATTATTAAAGCAATTTCCCCCTTGGTCTTGCCGGGCTAAACATTGTTGAATATATGGCTAAAAGTAAGTCTATTTACTAAATACTAGCTACTTAACCGCCCGCATGGCGTTGCGAATGAATGGAAAATTGTAGGAAAACAATGGGAAGCCATGTGGGTGTTACGATATAGTGATTTCGAAATCCAGGTGTTCCTTTGTTTTTACGGCGCGTTTCCCCCTTTTTTTAATATAGAATCAAAGCAAAATAAAGACAGATTAAAAACAGGAAAAGCAAATGAAAAAAGTGCCTACAAAAAATAAGTGGTACACTTTAATAAAGCTAGAAAAAAAGCTATTTGCAGACAAGCCTCAGGTTGAAAGTACGGCTCTAATACACTCAATTGTTTTGCTAATACTTGGAAAGGAGTTATATATATCTTACTTATATTTTGATTAAAAGAGTTTAAAGTTTGCGTGCGTAATCCCTTTTTTCACGATGCACTTAATTTTTTGTTTATCAATGAGCCAAAATGAATGGAGATAAAACGTGATAAAACTAGAAAATCCAAGCCAAACTTATTTCCTGGTCCTCAGGGCAAAAGAAGTTGGTTTAGTATGAGATTAAAAAGCCTTATTAGAGTGATTTAAAAGAATAATTCGTATACGAAAATAGCATTATTGATCACCTGTCATCGAGAAATTAAAAATAGTATTTTTCTGATATCTATAGCTTTTTCTCCTCGTTATTTGGAAAAAAATAATGAAGAATTTTTATCAAGTGAAACGAAAATTAGGATTCTAAACTGAAATTAGTAAGACCAGATGTTGATTTAGCTTGGATTTACCCTTTTAATTTAAAGATTCTATCACCAATTTATTTATTTGTTCTTATACGAAGATATGTTAGGGGGAAAAACATCTAACACCGTCTATGAGATGCTGTCGTTTCGAGACGTCAAAATAAGGTAGTTATTTTGGATGATTAATATTCTCAGTCTTCTCGGCAGATAAGTTGAAATTTGCAATTTAAATACGAATTTTGCTGCTTTGGATATTATATTTTAAGGACTTTTTTACCTTTTATTCATTTTATTTACTCCAGATTTATTTATTCATTCATTCATTTATTCATTCATTCATTTATTCATTCATTACTTATCCATCCGTCCGTCCGTCCGTCCGTCCGTCCGTCCGTCCGTCCGTCCGTCCGTCCGTCCGTCCGTCCGTATACAATTCAACCTCTTTTTCTTCTCTTTAGCATAATTAATTTTTCTCTATCGTTATTTCTTTTCGATCTTCTCTCTTTCTCATTTTTGTATTATTTCTGTCGATCTATTCAAACGACATTGTCAAGAAAAAAGACATGAATAATAATGTAATGACACATGGTCTGAAATAAGTCAACAATACGTTAAACTGAATGTCTAAATGGCTTGACTGACGACTAAATTTTCTAATAAATACACTACCAAGATAAGGTAATAATCTGATTGGACTTAATATGGTTGTTGGTCGGTTGGTCAGTTCCGCTGAGAGTGGTTGTTGGCTGTCAGTGCCCGTTTAGAGATCTTAGCAGTAATCAAACATGCTTACAAGACTGTACACCCCGGCTGGGAGGATGTTCTAATGTATAGAGATCTTAGCAGTAATCAAACA